CATTGAAGTTCTGATTTTTGTTCCTTAACTTGTGCAGAGCATTGAGTTAATTAACTTTCATCTTGTAAATTTCCGCGTTCTCCAATGTAATTGCGATTTTATTTGGCATGTCTTTAAAGTTAAACTATCAGGTCATCCATTATGCGTATATAAAGACAATTGAAGAAAAAAAAAGAGCTTAGTAGCGATATGCTCGACTAAGTAGATGTCTATAAACACTTGTCTGTGTTAAAAAGTTGTTATGCTCGGAATTTTATGCATTTTACTCTACAATCAATTCAAGAATTCGCTTAAAAAAATGGAAAAAAAAAATTAGATTTCTGGGTAGTTTCACTCTCGGACGTAACAAAAATGTAGAGAGGTAAAATCTTAAGATGAATGAAGTAATGCTTTTAATATGCATCATCACACCCACTTAAGATTTGCAAAAATTAAAATTAAAATTAAAAAATCCACTTGATATGGAAACTAAATCCTTTGTAGAGAAAAATTAAAAAAAAGAAAGCAACTAACCACTTTACTTTCTTTTAAGGTGAAAATAGCTCCACCAAACTTATAGCCCATAATTTTCTCTTATTCGAGTCCTGACACCTCAAGCTACCCTGAACATATTTCTATAATTTTCGTACATTTTTCCTTCCTTTTCTTTGCTATTTTTCTAAACAAAGTTAAGCCCGTATCTTGCACTTTCCCTTTTATTCTTTTACTTTTCCTTTAACATTAATTTGACCCAAAATTGTACTTGTGCTTTGATCCATATCAATTTGATCTTTGTTTAATTGGCATGAGAATCCAATTTGGGATCCTCTTTCTTTTCTTTTTTTCTTTTTTTTTGTCTCACTTCTCTTTTTTATGTAGAAGTATGTCCGCTGTTCATGAGGACAGAACCCCGAACCTGATACTTTCCGGCCCCATTCTCTTGTCCTTTTACCAGTAGGGCCACATGCCTGTTGGCGAGACCCATGTTTGCTAAGGGGAACATTGACGTATACAGTCACGCCAACATAAGCAAAAGTAAACATAATAATAAAAACAAAAGAGAATAGCGTCAAGCAAGCAGAGAAACAAAGAGGCTGCGAGGGCGAGAGTTAGGGGCGGCACCGGCGCTGCCACCGCCCCACTTGTGCCGTGCCTACCGGCGAGGGTGGCTGGCCCTTGCCGGTAAGTGTCGGCATGCTCATCAGTATATTGCTTTCGCTGGTTTCCGCCGTTGGATGGGGGTGGGGCTTTTCAAGACCAATGGGACTGTGCAGCACTTGTTGCCTTTGGGCCTTTGGCCTTTCGTTTTATCTTCCGGCGTCGCGTTGGAGGTCCACGGGTCTTGTTGCATGTTAATATGCGTGGCGGGTTTAATTATCGATATAACCTTTCATTTGCTTTATTAAAAGGGTTGATACCGTTAAAAATCTAAGACTGATACCTGTATAACACATTTACCCCAAACTAATTTTTACCTTGCATAAAATCCCAAACCGATACCTTGATCCGAATATATATATATACACTCCCGTTAACAGTTTTGCAATATCCTGCGAAAAATGCTTATGTGTTAACACACGCGGCAGGCGATTACAAGACGGATCCGACATGGTGAACGATAGATTCCACATGGAAAATCCTCATGCTTAACTATGTATGCATTTTAATGCAATATTGGATAGAATACTAACGAATGGTAAATTTGAGTCACGGCATGTGTCGTTGGGGTACCACGTCGTGTATAGAGGTCACAGAATAATTGAATAATACCCCTACGCCCGTGTTTATAAGTCCATTAGTTGCTTGCCCGTGTTTCAAATTTTTATTTTTACATACAATTTTGACTGCACAACATTCAATCACAGGTGCACGACGTGTGTGGTAGCAATTAAGGGTGTGCTAAAGAAAAAACGTTAGGCTCTCGTTGATCCTGGATCGGCCTGCCCAACTCGGCTCAATTTTTGCGGGCTCTACTAGGCCTTGTCGGTCCACATGTCCTGAATATGTTTTTTTCCAGTTCAAACTAGTCTGATTGGAGAAATAACATACCTTCGTTTTCGGGCTCCGGTAGGCCCGTGTTGGGGAGGCGCATCCGTGGGGCGGTTTTAGGTGGCGGGAGTGGTGGCTAGCGGCGAAGGGCGGGGGTGGTGGCTAGCGGCAAAGGGCGGGGGTGGTGGTAGACTTGGATTAACAATTTGGGTGGATTAGTAGAGTTTGAGGTGTGAAAAATCCATTTTATAAAAGTTGAAGATGTAAGTGCTAAAGGAAGAGAAAATTCACACTTACACGGAAAAAAAAAGAGGAGTATGTAAATGAATTTCCAGCCTCTATCTCCAACCGACCCGAAATTGCCGATCCTACTCGCTCCGGGCCAAATGGCCTCGCCTCGGTGTAGGCCGAAAAAGCCTCGGGCCGGATCAAAATTCCGACGAAAGCCCGGCGAACCTGGCCAGTGCTTACCCCTAGTAGAGACCAGGAGTTGGAGCTAATTGACATTCTCGTAAGTCATTACATGACGTGGTTTCTAGGAAAATCCACACTTCGGCCACGGGGCTTAGACAGGTTAACACTGAAAAAGACAGCCACGTGGCGGGCTCTCGACGGAGGACACGATGCTAACCTGGTGTGTGTTTTTCCCTGCCTTATAACTCGATAAGCTTGGAACTGTAACCTAACCAAAACCCTTCGGGAAAGCGCATCGAACATTTCGATAAAGATTTTTAAAAAAAAAAAAAAACGTACGCGCGGGACCGTCCAATAATGCGAGGCATATGTCTTCGCGAATATCGCTCTCCATCGAGCGCACGTAGTAGCTTTCGATGGCGGCCGTAGATGGTGACGCGGCAGCGCATGTGGCCCCGTCTCCGCCGTCCTTCCCCAAACCTAAGCAAGATCAGATCAGGCGTCGAAAAAGCCGTGGGATTCCTGTGTAAAAGAATCGAACCCTTCCCTCCAATAATGCCTGGGGCTCGGTATTTATTCCGGCTCAACACAGCCGTCGCGTTTGTTTTACTTTATCTCGCACTTAAGACACTCTTGGTCGGTCGACACACACGTGTCCATTTTTAACCTGCTCCACGTGGCACGAAGAGATGGAATTTAAATGCCGCCTTTGCAAGATTCGGTGGCTTTGTAAATTGCCCACCACAACGCCTTCTCACGTTCTTCTCTGCCCTAATCGCGGCAAAAGCTCTTCGCGGCGTTTAGGTTCCAATGTCCAAAAGGTAAAATTAGGTCGAGAGTTAGGTGGTGTTGCGCTTGGAATGCACCGTTCGATTTTTGCTAGGTATACTTCTTGGAACCTGCGGTGTTACGGGAAATTTTGTTTCGGTAATTCGTGGTTTTTAAGAGGAGATTTTGGGGGCAAAAACCGGCCGAGGAATTTCGGTCCCGTTAGACCTACAAGAACGTAGAGAGTAGTTTCTTGATTTTTACATCGACGCGCATAAAAGATTTTAGGTTGGACTCTTCGAAATATTATTTTCAGAGCCAACGTGCCGTATTGATTGGTCACTCTCGAATAGCCCGACGGAATTGACGAGAGGGTTTTTGTTCGCCGCATGATTCGATCCCATTTTTTTGTGATCGAATTTTCTAATCTTCGCTTGGACAATTGTTTTTGATACATCGACCTATGAGCAACTTAAAGTGCTGGGGCTGAGAGATGTCTTGCTTTTATTTTGTTCCCCCCTTTTTAATATCTTTCTTTTCTCTTTTCTTCCATTTTACCATTTCTTCTCCCCCAAGCAACATGACCACCACCCGTCGTCGCAATCACCATCACCACCACCACTACCGCCAATTTGTCTTCGCTCTAAGCACAATCACAACCGTCGTCATCATCATGTGCTCTCTCTCTCTCTCTCTCTCTCTTCATCCGAATCGACAAGATATACCAACGGATCGAGTCGAAGGAGAGCGAGAGCTGAGGTACGAAAGCGTGGAGCAAGTGCGACAAGCTGCGATGAGGATGTAAGCGATGGATGCAAAGATGGGACAGGGTGGAGAGAATTACGGTCATAAGGATTTCCTTGCACATGATCACAATTCACAGGGTATGAAATATCTCCGAATCAGGAACAGTCGAGCACCATTCACCTACCCCCATAACATAAACACGGTTTATTAATATAATTTACTGTATCACTACTCACATGTGTAGGCCACATCATACTGTATTCCGATCGCGACCCTCGGCTTATTAGAATCAAACCTTGGTTGACAAATGCGCACATCTCTGTTTGCAGAACAATCATGCTTTGCTTCCTTTGCTCGACAGGCTATAGTAAAACATGGACGGCCCCGTCTGCGATTATTTTTTTCTTCATAGGTGTGCGCCGACCCGACATAAAGAAATTACCAAAAGAGAGAGAAGAAAACGCACTGATATTCACCACCCCGCCCACCTCCTCCTCCTCCTCCATCCTTCGCCACCCACCTCCAGCAGGCGGAGCTTTCACGTAATCCCCCGCCACCCGCCTCCTCCTCCGTGACGGCGACAGCCTCCCTCATTCGTTCTGGACCACTCTCTCTCTCTGTCTCTCTGTCTCTCTCTCTCTCTCTCTCTCTCTCTAGACATACTGTTCCATTGCTTTTTGTGGTGTCCACAGGAACAACGTAAGCAACGGCTCCTCCTGGTGGCTAACTCCACCTTATCTCCTTATCTACTTTGTTTTCTTTAAGCGCCAGCTTCTGCGAGAGTTGGCCCAGAAGAACCAAAAGCAGAGAGTGGTAGGTCCGTCCTCGTTCCTTTATCCTCCGCCTCCTCATCTCTTGCTTTGGACGAGGTCCCAGTTTCTCCTCATGTCCCGAGCTTCCCCCAGGAAACAAATCTCCCGTTGGTCGCACCCCAAGAAAGATAGAAAAACAGACGGACGTGCATATCTCAAGAAAGAAGCAAGAAAATTGATTCAATGGATGACCCAACAGACTGTGTCTTTCTTTTCCCCTTTCTTGATTGCTTCTGTGTATTGTCAAACACCTACAGATACAAAGAGCAACTGCACACAAGATCGACGATATGATCTAAATTGCTTCTATATATGTCGAGCGTCAGAGATATATTTCATATTTGTCATCTCCCTATCAAAAAGAAATGAAAAACTTCATCAGGGCCTTAGTCTTTTTCCCCCATATTCAGCTTGATCAATCGGCGCGTGGAAACTAAGAAAAGAAAGAAAAGATCAAACTCGGTTACCCACTAAAAACTACAGCAAAACTGGAAAAAAAACACCAAAAAAATCAGATAAAGCTAGGTGATTATATGGGCGATCCTTCGCTCTAATTCAATCTCCGTCCGAGTTCTCCGATTTTGGGTACTCGTTCAAGTCCGGCTTCTCCGTGGTCACCTGGCTCGAGTTCGGCTCCGGGGCGGGGAGCTGGGCCGCAGAGGCCTGGAGGGCGTCGACCCGGGCCCCGACCTCGGTGGCCTTCTTCCGTATGGAGGCGGCGGACAGGTCCCGGAGCTCGTCGTCCTCCTGGAAGACCAGCTCGGGGAAGTTGAGCCGGGCCGAGGGGCCGCGGAGGTAGAACACCGCGGTGTCGTAGGCGCGGGCCGCCGCGATCGGGGTGGTGTAGGAGCCGAGCCAGATCCGGGACCGCTTGTTCGGCTCCCGGATCTCCGCCACCCACTTCCCCCACTTCCTCCTCCTTATCCCCCTGTACGGCTTTTCCGCTTGCTGGTGATCGTGGTGGTGGTGCTGCTGCCTCTGCTTGCGCTTCTCGGCAGCCGTCCCCGTCGCTGTCGTGGTCGGCGTTGCAGTAAAAAACTCACCCTCCATGATCGATGATGGCCCTTCCTTTCTCGTTCTCTCCTTCCCCTTAGAACTACAAAAACTCGGAACAGAGGAGCAAGAACGAATACGTTTCGCTCATGGGGGGGGTGGGGGATCTTCTCTCGCTCGGATGATCCCAGGAAACGCTTGCCGCATGAAAACCCTGGTTTGCGTTTCGTACGAGAATATAAATACGAGTTTTCTAGAGAGAGAAAGAGGGAGGAGGGTAGAGAGGGAGTTTCCGACTTGGCTGCGAGCCTGTCGTCTGGGGACGGCTGCCACGTTGATCTTCCCTTTAAGATAATCCAAACTTGGCCGACATAATCCATCGCTCCCCTGCAATCTCTACTTTCAGCTTCTCCTCTTTTCCTCTCCTGTGCGGTCGAGTTTTTGGTAAATTGGGTAATGATTCTTCGTCGTCTTCTGCGCACTGTTGCTTCGAAAGCTTCGCTACCTGATGTAATCGCTAACAGTACCGCGAGAGGTACGTGTACATTTGGAAGATGTGTATGCCCATCTCGCTAGGGCAAAAAGTTTGTCCCGATGGACGAGTCCAAGAAGGGATTACCGCTCCATGAACAGATGATTCGAGTCTGCACATAGTTTTCAGCGCTTCCCTCCACTGGGGAAGTAGCTTCGTACGTAGCAATTATTTCGAAGGCTTATAATCAAGCAGACCATAATGAGTTCATTATAATGGTGCGTCGAATCTCGATTGGATATTCGTGATATTCGAGGTTCTTTCTCGCGAAACCTGAAGAGCAAACCGAGTTTTCGAAGCGAGATCTTAATTTGTTAGGATCTTTTAGACGTTGTGATGATGATTGATCAAATTCATTGGGATTGATTTGGTTCCGCTTAAGAATTTTTTTGAAATTTCTGAATCTGAGGATTCGATCATTATGATGATTTCTTGTATTTTATATCTTGTCAATTGACTGAATTGAGCTACAGACGGTATCTTCCTCCATTCCTGATTAGAGGAAAGTTTCCCTTGACTGTTCATTTGATTGGTATGTTACAAATATAGACACCGCTTGCGTTTATATTTAATTAAGTTTACATATGAATGATATCCATAACTAATAACCTACTAATCAAAGGTATGGTTTGGGAAATTTTTTTTGATATAATTATCCAAAAAGTCATAAACTTATTACATAATAGCTAATTCAATCACAAACTTCTCAATTTGATCAATTAAATCCTAAACTTTAGGACGATTTGCCAATGTAGTCTTTATAGCCAATTTTGGCCAGACATCAAAGACGTGGGCGCCGGCTATCCTGCATGCCATAGCCGCAGGTTACATGGATGATTTTTTGCGAATGTTTTATATTTTCTTTCCTTTTTTTTTTCCTTTTCTTTTCTTCCCTTTTTCTTCTAACTAGAGATAAAGAAAAGTGTTGCTCATAATGATGCTAAATATCAACCAATGGAACAATTATTCAGAGTGCCTCACTCGAATCCCAACCATCAATCACACCCTCCAATCTCTTATTTCTTGTCCACAAAATGACTCAAACTTCCATAGAACACTTAAAACATATGGGCTCTCAATTTGTGTATTCAAAGTGAAAAGAGCGACTCAAATACACAAAACGTCGGGGATAAGAGCATAATTGAATTGGACCCAATCATTTTGTCATTTTGTAAGCAATCATCCTTCTTTAATCAAGTGATTCTAATATTATACTTTTAGTACATTTGTATTTGGATTTAACCAAAGTATTTTTACGCTCTATGTTATAGTACCGATTCATTTTAACAGCTATCTATTTTTTCTCTATCACATCTTACACTGTGTGTAGTATGGTCAATCTTACTGTTATAGTTTTTTTTTTCCAGTTCTTCATATATATATATTTCACATATCGCCGGTCTATTCCACTACGAATTCTATTCTAAGCGACAGAGTAAAATTTCCTCTCTATATTTTTTTGCAGAAAAAATTTGCGTATTTTCGTTCTACCACAAAACATGTCGGGTATCGTAAAGTCAATTAATTTTACTTAAGTTTATAAGCATGGAAATTCTCTCATAAGGAGATAATTTTACGACTTATTAATTATAAATTCTTTTAGGCATATACTATGTTTATGACTATGACTTGATCTTTTTAGAATTGTTTTGGGGAAAAGGAAAAGCTTATCTTTATCACACAAATCGTAGTCAAATCTTCTTGCTTTTGAAATATCACAGTGTGCAATGTAAGTGGTCATCTACAACATGAACTTGAAGTAGGCGGGGGGAGTGCCGACGTGTACAGTTACGGCTTCACTACGCAAGCATGAAGTTCCACAACCCTCTCGCATGTCAAGCCGGAAAAAATTTATTAAATGGCGGATAAAATTGAAATTAGGTAAAGTCTCGGATAAAATAATAACGTCGCGTGCACTTTAGTATATGAGCATGTGAATCATTAGACCGAGCAAACCCCCCATGAGAGTATTTAAAAGGCCGATTTACATGGCAATATGGTAAAGATTCCGGGGGTATGATGTCTGCCGTCGGTGTCTCGACTCGGTGTGTCGTCCATCCCGATCATTAGTCGGTGTGGAGAATGGTGGTTGCGAAATTCATAATCAATGCATCGGAGGTTTGATATTTGTCGACGAATCGATAGATGCGACGGGGCTTGGGTCTTTTCCCATATTTCGGCCGGCTATTTTTAAGGGTTTAATATCACGAAAAACTCCAAATTGGTACAACCATAACAAATTTACCCCGAACTAATTTTTTGACAGACAAAAGCCCCAAACCGGTGTACTTGTGACAAATATAGCCTCCGTTAATTTCCGTTAAATTTTACCGTCGAATTTCTGAGTTGAATGACATGTGACAGTTGACGGGTGTATCGATTTAGGTTTCTGAGGTTTTTGACCCTCCGTTTGTCGCATATATGCCGGTTCGAGGTTTTTGCTATTTGAATGATACTTTAAATCTTGGCGAAACTTTTCAAACAAAGGTGTAAAACAAACGGTTATTGATTTGTCGACGGTTTAAAAAACGATTTTTCATTGCTAGCAATTCGATGATCTTTTAGTCAAGTGGACAAGAGAGAGGGTGGAAGGAGGGGGCCAACAAATTAAAAAGAATTAGGTCGGTGTCGGTGGCGGTGGCGCAATGGACGGACGGGATCGGCTTGTTCGGAGTCGCTTTCCATCCACGCCATTCGATGATCTTTTAGTCAAGTGGAGATATAACAACAGAAGGGAATTGCTTTTTATAGCACCTTGAAAGAAAGATTGTCTCTTCCATACATATCCTGTCACGGGGAAAAGCATTAGACATTGCTGACGTGAACGTTGGCCGGTCTATGTGATATCGTCGACAAAGTGCCAATTCAATTCTTTTGACTAATTTGACATTCCTATCGTGGACGTTGACTGGCCTACGTGGTACCGTAAACACTAATGTGGACGATTAATAATAATATTTAAATGCTTTTTTTGTTCTTTTTCTTTTTTTTCTTTCTTCTTCCTTTGGCCGGTGACCAATCACCGGCCGCAGGTGATGGCTTGGCGGGCTGGCCTCCACTAGGCAAGGCTCGGCATCAAACGCCATAGGCAAGGTAGAGCCTCGGCGAAGGCTCCCCTCGCCATATTTGTTGAGACCGCCGTGGCTTGGGTGAGGGCCGACCTCGCCAGATCTGGCGAGGGCAGCCCTTGCTAGGGTTTGCTTGGCCTAGCCTTGCCTGTGGCGGTTGACGGCGACCCTCGCCCTGGCAAGGCTAGCTCGCCCGACCATGGCCGGCGGCCGATCACTAGCAAAAGAAGGAATAAAGAAAAAAAAGAAAAGAAAAGAAATTTTTTTTTAAAATAGAAAAATATTATAAAATTGTTCATGTCAGTGCTGGTGGTGCCATGTAGGCTAGCGGATGTCAATATCCTGCCAAAATTAGCTGGAAGGACTAAATTGACATTATTTCAAAAGGTTTAGGACTAAATTGGCACGAAAAAAAAGGTTTATGATTAAATTAATAGGATTATGACTTTTCCGACACTTTTCCCTCCTATCTCATGTATATTACATGTGGCCTCTTTCGACTTATGACTGAATTTCAAAACATAGAAAAAATAAGTTGATTAGTGAACCTCATAAATTGATTTCGTGTTACACGTTTGGACTGATCGCAAGAGGTCGACCGACTTAAACGGCCTGTCTCCAGCGTGGTCGAAACCTAGACCTCGGCTAGGTGCGGTCGAGTCTTGAATCTAGTTCGATGCTCAATCCGAGGTCGTCCACCTCGATTCCATGTCGCCACGGTGCAGGATCGGAGATGGACGCGGCGAAGGAGTGGCTTTCGAGGGGCGGAGGGGGTCGGGCGACGGTAGAGAGGACGAGACAGAAGACGGAGCGCGACGCAAATGGCTGTCCATTTCGTTCCTTTGAAAGTCCTTCCGGTGTCTAGCATCTTTCGCTACTACTCATTCGACGGCCGAAAAAACGATCATCCATTTGGAGGCAGCCTTAATTTCTTCCTTTCAGGATAAATCATTCCTGTGCACGGATTGCAACATATCGTGTGAACATGTAAGATATGATCTTGCCTTCAAAATTCAAACACAAAATGATTTTGCCGTCACACGAATGAAGAAAATAACAGCGGCATCACACATGATCATCGAAGAGAGGCCGGTCAATATATGTACAGGTGTCGGGACACGAATGGGTTCGCGGAGTCAAATACGACGATTACCGCCTTAATTTCCATTAGTTCAGATTAGTTTGAATAAGCAACACCCCAATATGAAAAAAAAAACATTCATGTATTTTTGGGTTAATACCACGAAAAACCCCTAACTGATACATCCGTGATAAATTTACCCCAAATTAATTTTTGGACCACAAAAAATTCCAAACTAGTACATTTGTGACAAATTTACCCTCCGTTAGTTCCCGTCAAATTTTACCGTCAAATTGCTGAGTTGGATAACACGGGGCAGTCGACGGGTGTACCAGTTTTGGGTTCACAGGTTTACCAATTTGCGGTTTTTCGTGGTATTAATCCAGTTTAACGGAGGGTAAATTTGTCAGAAATGTACCAGTTTGGAGTTTTTGGTGGTCAAAATATTAGTTTGCGGTAAATTTGTCACAAGGGTACCGATTTGGGGTTTTTGGAGGTTAAAAAATTGGTTCGAGTAAATCTGTCACAAGTGTACTAGTTTAGGATTTTCCTTGGTATTAACCCCATATTTTTAGCACGGAGCAATAGACTCCTGCCCTAAGAATTAGATAAGCATTGGAAAAGAATATGAAGTCAGAATAATTTGATTTAAGCTTAAGGCCGAATCAACAAAA